TGCTCTGGGGCTGTGTTTTCCGATTAAGGGAGTAGCAGCTGCCACTCCTCGCCCTCACGTGGCTTTGCCACTAGGTTGAACCATATTTGAAAGTAATGAACTTTTACCAGGAGATCCTGGTGTCATTAAAGTTTAAATCCAAATGGAGTTGACCTAATTTGAAAAAGATACACAAAATCCAAATGGATTTTATTTTTCAGCTGACCAACTATTACCTTTTCTTTGACTTTGCAGATGGTAGAAATAATAGGTAGAAATAAAGGAAAACTAATGGAAAAGATTCGAAAACTTTGAGTTTTAACGATAAGGATAAAATAAAGGGTCAAGTGAATAGTATCAGGTTTGATTTTTTTAGTATAAAAATGTAGTTTTTCGTTAAAGTGAACAGTACCCGAAGCTTTTAGTTAAAATTCCCTATAAATAATGCATATACATTTTGGTGTGGATTTGATCCCAGTTGATTTTCTTTTCTTCTAACATTTAACAATTTAATTTACTAATGCTATTGTTTGTTCAGAAATAAAAATAAAAGGTTATTTCCGATTAATATTTATATTTAACAAAACATGAAATGTCAAAAAAAAAAAAGAAGATAAAATTAAACGTTTCTGTAACGAAAATTGTTCATGTAAATTTGGGCCCCACCTCCAAGCATAAAAAGAAGAAAAAAAAAATCTGGCACCATAGACTTAAACTGAAATTGCAGATGTATGTATAGTTGGCCTCGCCATTTGGAGCCTGGAACACAATGACCTAAACTGAACATCTACATGTCTTCTCCAATGGTTGTCATGGCTATGAATTTAATGGGTTGAAAGTATAAGCTGCTTAGAATTCTGCTCCCGAACAGCATAGTAAACAGAAACTAGCAACAAATGATGTGGAAACATCAGAAATAAACTATTAATTTAGCATAAAATTAACACTATATAAGAACATGTGATCTACCAATGTTTTTTTACAACTTATCGATATTATATTGACAATCTGTCCTTAAGAAAACAACAAACCCACTGTTGAGAGAACAACTATGTACATGATAAACAAATCTCCCTACTGGCTTATCAAGATCAACTCGTAAGTTTTGGATCATGTACCTTTGTACTTTCATTTGGGCATTTGGTTCCTTCGTAATCAAGTTTATTTCGAGGGTCTTCGGACTTCTTTAGAGTATGCTAAGCGTTAGTTTACGGATCATTTTTGCAAATCGACTTCAATATGTTTTTCTAGTGGACACCCTTCTTCTTTGCTTATTTTTTCGTTGCTAGGTATTTCGCCGCTCTTGACTTCGGCCCCTTCTTTTGTTCATGTTCACTTGCATCCTCCGCGGTTGGGATGTATAAGGTGAATATAGATGGTCCTTGTTCTAATGGGTGTGCGTGTTTTGAAGGGATTTTTCGTACTAGTGAGGGAACCAATTGGTAATATGGGAAGTAGCTCAAAATCATATAAGTACATAGCAAAACTTGTCCTTTCACCAATGTGGGAACTCTCAACACACCCTCATACGTGTGACTGATTTTTAAGTCTAACACATGAACAACACAATAGAGTGACGTGTAGCGTGTGTTGCCGTTGGGTTTCACACATGAGACTACCTGCTCTGATACCATGATAAAAGTTTGAGATTTTTTTTTGTTTTTTTTTGGGCCACAATTTTTAAATAAATATTTAATTATAGGCCCAAAGGTGATTTTATTGACTAAGTTTGTGTCGCATGGGTTCGTGACTGGAAACACCTTTGGATTGGAAATGATTCCACTATGGTTCAGCCTTACTAATATAAGGGTCTGTCTACAGTTCCATGGTTTTTGCTGATTGATTGGAATACCTGTTTATGGTGCCTCCGTCAGATGGTACAACCAGGTCGTGGACTTGTTAGCCTTTTATGGGGCTGCAGCCTACGCTTATCATTATTGGTCTACTATCCCCTCATTTGGAGAGTTAATTTTGCCTAATTTTTCTTTACTTTCACAAAAAAAAATAAATGTATTTCCAAATTGTTACCGTAAATATATACTTGCCACCCAGCTTTATCAATGTTCCCTAATAAATTTTCCCAATCGAAAGAATTTTATTAAATTCCGAATGAAATGTTTATATCTTTAGAAAGAGTATTAAGGATCCACTCCAAAGTATCAAAACTCATCCATGATTACCACCATTTTTAGTAACAAATCGCATCAAATTGCACAATCAACTTTGAAAACCCTTCCGCAGTAAACATCAACTTCTTCTACTTCAACAGGCAAAATAGATATGGCCAGGACCTCGCCTCGACAGCCTCTTGCAACCACCCTGCGCTGTTGCGCACCACCAACCAACACCTTCCACCGACGTATTAGATGACCAAGCTCCATCACAATATTTTATCGTTCCATAGTTTTGTTATCTCCACTATTGTGCCGCCTCACTGACTTGAATTTGAGTTGCATAGCTCGTCTCCCTAGCCTGTTGTAGTGGCAATGTACTTCAAGTCCATGGGTGGGACAATCTTGAAAAAAAAAAAAACAGACACGATGAAAATTAACCATGACGGAGCTTGGTCCTTTAAATACTTAACAGCACAAGGTGCTGGTAGATTGGGTGACAATTTGTGCCATAACTAGATGGTTTAAGAAAGGATCGTGTGGTAGGAGTAACTTTCTTGTACGTTCGCACTAGGAACTCACCATGTGTGGCCTGAAAAAGAGATTATGAAGCCTCAAACTAATGCAAAAGAATCATATACTACTAATTGCCAACTTAGCCGAATATTGTTCAGATAACCCTAAAGATGTGTTTGATGAGAGACTTTGAAATTCCATGGAGCTTGTAGGCTTAATTTTGTTAGGAATGCACGAAAAAAAAAAAATGATTGGACTAATAAATGATTATCACTGCACTACATTTGATCACACCTTGAAAGGTATGGTGTATCATTTTGAAAAACACTAACTATTTGAAAGTCCACTTAGTGTTTGTAGTACATTTATAGTGTCATAGTAGTAAATTTTTTAGTAGTTGAATAGTTTCTTTATAGTGTTCTTGTAGCAATTTTTAGGTAGCTCCAAACTATTTTTGCAAATGGGGATCTCAAGAAATGAAGTCTGGCACATTCAAAAATCATAACACCAAAACAATATATCATAAATATATTGATGCTTAGAGCATTATACATAGTTCATAAATCATAAAAATTAGGGTAAATTACACAAAACTACTTCAACTATGAGTCGGACTACAATCTCATACCTCATGTTTTAAACATTTCAATGTCATACCTCAACTTATGAATTCATTATAATATCAGACATCCTTTAAATTTTCTGTTAATTTATCTGTTAAATGATGACATGACACAGCAGAATCCACTCTTTTCCCAACTGAAATAAAAAATTAATATATTATTAATTTTATTTAATTAATTAAAAACTCTCTTCCTTACTCCCTCTCCCTGTTATGATATCGCTTCTTCCTCTAGCTCCAAACTCAAACTTATAGAACCCTCTAATATTCCCACAATGACAACTCAAACTTATTATTCGCATGCATTATTCATCCATAAACCAACTCTAAGCACCTTGATATATATAAAGAGAACCCAGATCTACTCTTGAAAACCCAAACCCTAAAGTTTGAGCTCCAAATTCAAATCACTCTACTACAAAAGTGGCTTATTGTGTCGGAGATTGGTGTCAGTTTTATATAATATACTGGCGGATAAGACATTCCGATAGCATCTTTACATGGTGTCGAAAGTATTGTTGGTTATAACCGACATAGATTGTTAATCAATGGCAGAGCCACCAACAAGACTAAGGTGGGCTGTAGCCTAGAGAGGTTTTCTATAAGGGTAGTGCCTATATCTATGCACTCATTTTTACTTCTCACACACTTCTCTCAATTTTCGGCTGTTAGATAGAATAAATTGATCAATGGCAAAAAATTAATGAGGGTGTGTTGGAGATAAAATTGGGTGTGTGAATAACACTATTCTTTTGTAAACTCATGCTTATAGCCCACTCAATTTCAATACGTTATTATTGAATGTATATTTAGTAGAGGATATGTAATAAATAATAAGTTTCATGCTAAAAATTATAAATTAGTTCTATCTCCCGTCTCCCTTTATCCTATTTGTAAAAGAAAAAGATCATTTACCCTATGTGATTTAGCCTTGTGCTTATTACTCAAGAAAAGAAAAATATTCTTTTTAATCCACAATTAAATCTTTATCTGCAATTCCTTACTTTCCGTTATGATTTTCCAATGGAGTCACCTTTGGTACGCTCTTAATCTCTTTATTTATTTATTCTTGATTTAATTATTAGGTTAATTATCTATATGGTCCTTGAATTTATCAGCTAGGTTATGATTTTGAGAATAATTTATATTCTATTGTTGTTCTTTTTTTTCTTTTTTTTTTTACTAGACAATATTATCTACACTAAGGGGGTGGTGGAGTGGCTAATGTGGTTCAAATTCGCATTTGGTGAGAACCAAACCTACGATCTCTCACTTACAAGTGAAGAGGAATACCACTAGACCGTAGTATTAAGTGGCATTGTTGGTCTTTTATATTGATTATTATATAATTTTATATAAACAAAAAAATAAACATATGATTTTATAGTACTAATTTTAGGTAGCCCACCTAAGAAAAAAATCCTGGCTCTACCCTTGCTATTAATGTCGGACAAAATCGACATAGTTTTCAATTTTTAACCAACATAGACTGTCTATGTTGTTTATAACTGACATAGACTGTTAATGTCGCTTATAACCAACATAATTTTTAATTTTTTTAAATGATGGTGTCATATAAAAAGAGAATAGTGTCACTCTCAACTCACATAAAGTTAATGTCGGTTAAGGAGCCATTTCTTGCGCTTTTACCCGACAATATATTTTTATTTTTAAATATTTTCAAACTTCCTAGTGGTTGTAACTTGTAGGCGACAGGTTGGTGTTTTTATTTTTTTAAATACGAATCTCGCGTGACAAAATTTTGGGCGGGATATTTCTTGCCATTTTTTTAGACGAAAAAGAGAATGTCGGTTCTATCGGACAAATTTAATTATATTCTTTACATCTAAAAGAGTGTTGTCGGTTTGAGCCGCCAAAAAATATTTCAACCCTACATAAAACCCCTTCTCTCTTCCTTGAGCTGCTGCCTTCTCGCTTCCCCAGTTTCTTCTCCTTCCCGTTGCATTCATTCCCCCTTTCCTTCTCCTGTTCTTCTCCCCTTCTCCTTCTCCCTTCATCTCTCCCAAAATCACAACTAACAATCCCAAATTCATGGTCATAGCACCGCTGCTCTGCAGTTTTCCGTATACGAATCGCAATCTCAGGGTACCCCCATAGCACCACAGTAGCACCACCATGTAGCTCTCTCTGCAAATTTCTTCACTCCGTTGCTGCTATACAACTCACAGTCGCATCACCAGGTGTGTTGCTCTTTGGCTCAGGTTCCTTCTTCTTCTTCATTGCACTTTCGCCTTATTTACCATTTGTACGATTAGGGCTGCTAATTTGTTTAAAATTAGGGCTTTCAGATTCTACCTAAATTTTGTTATTGAATTGGCACAAAAATTCAAAAATTAGTGGCCTCCTTGCCGTTGTCTCGGTCGATTTGAGTTCTGAGAATTTTTTTTTTTAAAGTTTAGGAGGATGTAGTCAAATTAGGATTTGATGGGATTTTAATAGATTTTAAAATTAGGGTGTTTTCAATTATGATTTTGAAAGAGGATTTTAAAGGAGTTTAAAATCATAGTGTAGTCAAATTAGGATTTGAGAGGATTTTAAATAATACAATCAAATCCATGGATAGTCAATTACGTTTTTAAAAACGTCTACCAAATCTAAGTATAGTGAGAATATCAAAGATTTGCTAGGATTTTAATGAACGGAGGATTTTGATGGATTTGAGAGTGGATTGTATAAATACCAATGCCATCAAGAATCCAACCCTCCCCCTCAGATTTCTTTTCACATTCATTAGACTTCCTCTCTCAGTTAGAAGAAGAACTGTCTTCCTCAATCCCTCGAGGTATTGCATTTCTCTTCTGTGTAGTTGTACTCAGTCTGCAAACCTAGCGCTAAAACCTCCGAGACCGATAAACCCAAGCTTTGAGGAAAACCATATCTGTTGTTTGGCAGTGCCGACAGCAAGCTAAGGAAGTGGAGTGTCTTCACCCATTGTATGCCCCAATTTCTCGATTATTATAATTCCCCCCACCCCACCCCATATTCATTTTTCACAAAAGAGCAAAGAAATTATATATAAATTTCTAATATTTCACAACTCGTTTTTGAACAATTTATATATAAAATTTTGGTTCTTTGAGTCAGCGTTTATATTGTGGGTTTTGCTTGGTTTTTGGTGAAGTAATTAGCAAAACCCAGTTATCGCAAGCTGGATTTATCGACAAAAATTCGGGTTTAGGAACACAGATCTTTGCATATTTAAGGAAATGTAATAAAGCTGGAAGCTTTTTTGCAAAAACCCATTTGTTAATTTGGTGGCTTTTCCAATAACTAACCGGTGGAATTTGGAGTTTTGCTTGGCTGCTAAGGTGAATTTGAAATTACCCATTTTCCTGTTACAGAATTGGATTCTTATTTCTTTCATTTCGATTTGTACAGCTAATAGATAATTTTGATTTGTATACAGCGAATTATATTGAAATAAGACAAATTAACCCCAAATAATGGATTACTTGAACCCCAAATAAAGAAAAAGGCTATGCAAATGTATGCAAATTGATCCAAGTTCATGTAGCAAAATGTATAGAGACCTGTACAATAGGACGTGTTTTAGAAAACTAGTCTCCAACTATCATCCGAAAGCCATGATTATTACTATGGAGAGACAAACAAGGTGACTGCAACAATAGTTGACAAGAGTTCTAGATACAAACATTGTAGGTTAATCTTCTGAAATCCTAAGAAATCCTAAAAAAAAACCCATGAAAGAAGTCCATACAAATCCATACAAATCTATAATGAAAATCCACACAAATCTGTCAAAATCCATATAGAATTGTCTATTAAAATCCTTTGAAATCTGTTACTTAAAAAAAGTCTTTTAAAATCTATTAAAATCCTTAGTGTACTTTTGTGTTCTGGGTTTTTTTTTCCCATAACCTGTTTTCTAATGAAAATTATTTTCCCCTGGGAAACTGTTGCAGAAATTCAGGAAAGAGGAGATCAGGGCATTTATGCGGCTAAGTGTTGTGAAAGAATCTGCACCGTGTAAAACTATGGATTGGTATTATAACTTCAAATTGATGTCATGTAAGTGTATATCCATGGATTTTGACTTCAAATTGATTATATGTCCATGTAAAAAATCTGCAACAGTTTCAAATTGACGCTAGTGAAAAAAACACTTTGCGCGATGTACGTACATTCGTCGCGCAAAGTCAAAAATCATTGCGCAAGGGTTTGCGCAACGCAACCTACATCGCACGCTAACCATCGCGTAAAGGCAATGACGCTAGTGTTTGCGCGACGAAGAAATAACATGCGTCGCGCAAAGTCACTTTGCGCAATGCACGGCCTACGTCGTGCAAAGTACTTTGCGCGACGTGCGTCCTATGTCGTGCAAAGATACTTTGCACGACGCACATCTTAGGGCGTGCGTTGCGCAAACCTTTTTTGTATTTAGTGAAAAATAATTTTTTTGTTTTAGTGAAATTTTTTTTTTAATTTTTGATAAATATTGTAATTAAATTCTAAAGAATAATTAATTAACCAAAAGTATTTAATTATAAAATATATGAAAATGTACATACAAGATGTCCGAACAAAAAAGAAAAAACTACAAGTGAACTAGGTTTAATACATTAGGCTACAAGGTATCGATAGGGCGAGGTGGCTCTGAGGTCGAAGGTGAAACAAAATGAAGTGCTGGTAGCAAGATTTGGAGGCCGGACATCTGTATGGCTTGTACAAGGTCTCTCACCATCCTGGCATAGGTCCTTATCTCCTCGCCCTAGGCCCTCAGCTGTGCCCTCATCTGCTCGCCATGGGCCCTCATCTGCTCTTCCGGGATCACAAGCTGACCCTTTAGGGAACAAAGAGAACAAAGAAGGTTTTACCTCATTCAAAAGAGAATCTGAATCATAATGGCTAATTGAGCACAATTGGTTCGTATGTCTTGATTTTGAACTGAGGGACAGAGCAACATCAGGATGAAGCAGAGTTTCAGCGAACAGAAGCATTAAGATAAGTGTTTGCAAAAAAAAAAACAAAAATCATTGACATCGTAAATGCATACATGAAAAGGTACAACAACAACAACAACAACAACAAAGCATTTTCCCACTAAGTGGGGTTGGCCATATGAATCCTAGAACGCCATTGCACTCAGTTTTGTGCCATGTCCTCCGTTAGATCCAAGTACTCTAAGTCTTTTCTTAGCGTCTCTTCCAAAGTTTTCCTAGGTCTTCCTCTACCCCTTCGGCCCTGAACCTCTGTCCCGTAGTCACATCTTCGAACCGGAGCATCAGTAGGCCTTCTTTGCACATGTCCAAACCACCGTAACCGATTTTCTCTCCTCTTTCCTTCAATTTCGGCTACTCCTACTTTACCTCGGATATCCTCATTCCTAATCTTATCCTTTCTCGTGTGCCTACACATCCAACGAAGCATCCTCATCTCCACTACACCTACGTGTTAATGCTTCACCGCCCAACATTCTGTGCCATACAACATCGCCGACCTTATTGCCGTCCTATAAAATTTTCCCTTGAGCTTCAGTGGCCTACAACGGTCACACAACACGCCGGATGCACTCTTCCACTTCATCCATCCAACTGTATTCTATGGGTGAGATCTCCATCAAATTCTCCGTTCTTTTGCAAGATAGATCCTAGGTAGCGAAAACGGTCGCTCTTTGGTATTTCCTAATCTCCGATCCTCACTCCTAACTCATTTTGGCCTCCGTTTGCACTGAACTTGCACTCCATATATTCTGTCTTTGATCGGCTTAGGCGAAGACCTTTAGATTCCAACACTTCTCTCCAAAGGTTAAGCTTCGTGTTTACCCATTCCTGCGTTTCATCTATCAACACTATATTGCTTGCGAAAAACATACACCAAAGAATATCATCTTAAATATTAAGTTTGTGATCTTCGCTAGATTGCTCCGGTCATTAGTGTGGATAAGTATGTAAATGGATAGAGACAGGAAGCAAACACAAGATGTACGTGGTTCACCCAGATTGGCTACGTCCACAGAGTAAAGGAGTTCTCATTAATTGTGAAGGGTTTACACAGTACATAGGTTCAAGCTCTCCTTTAGTGAGTACAAGTGAATGATTTAGTACAAATGACATTAGGAAATATTATGGGAGAACGATCTCGTAATCACGAAACTTTTAAGTACCGAAGTGTGGTATCGTCTTCACTTGCCTTATCTGTCTCATAGGTAGATGTGGCATCTTCTTTGGAAGTACTCTTCCTCCCTCCAGGGGTGGTATCTTTAACTGGTGGAGATGCACAAGGTAATGTATCAAATTCACTTGACGCTTACTTGTAGTTTTAGGCTTGGTCAAGCGCGATACAAACCATGTAGTAGGAGTCTCCCAAGTCGCCGAGCTAGGGGATCTGCTGAAAGAGGTGATAGACAAGGTAAGCAATCAGAGCTCCAAGCAATCAGTCCCAGATCAGAAGTTTGATTTCGAGTTCTGGCTGATTGTTATCATTCTTCTTATCTTACAGGCAGCATGAAGGATAAAGAGAAGAAAAGGAGAAAATGTGATATGAGATACTTTTGCTTTTGAAGAAGTAACTTTCCACAGGCTTATTCTTGAACTGGGCTGAAGGGTTTTCTGGTTTCCGCCAGAGTATAAGGCCGACTGAAGAATTTGAGGGTCAAAACAAGTCTATCAAATCTAGAGTACGTTCGACCCTACTGATATGGGATACTTTTGCTGTTGACAAAGTAGTGGATGTATCGGCACGTGTTATGTTGCGCTTGTCTCCACATGCTTCCTTGTATCCTTCTCACTTGCCCTATTTGTTCCTCAGGCAGATGTGGTATCTTCTCGGGAAGCATAAGATGTTGAAGATGAGTACTCGAGAGCGATGCCAGGTAAGTAATCAGGTAAAGGGTTCCAGGCAGTCAGTTCCGGACTGAAAGCTTGATTCCAAGTGCTGACTGATTGCTCTCTTTCTCCTTGTCTTGCAGGTAAGAACAAGGTCAAAGGAAAAGACAGGGAAAAAACATGATATGGGATACTCTTGCTTTTAACCCTGATGATATGAGATATTCTTGCTCTGGTGTAGCTTGTTTGCAGAGGTATTCTCGGGGGGAAAGAAAGCTGAGTATTTCGAGAGGCTTCGTTGGGAGTGCCCTGTCAGATATGATGAAGGGTTGAGCATTTTTGCAGGTCTGCTTGTCCGTTGAGGATGGAGGTCGACATATATAGGAGTCTCCCTAACAACAAGGAGTAATGCTATTCCTTTACCCTGCTTGGTCATAGCACGGTAGTGGGAGCTGCCAGCTTTACGTGTTTTAACTCTGTCAGAGCACTTTGAAAAAGTGGTCTGTGGTATCTGGAAAGCTGATGTTACGAGTGAAGATTACAGACAAGCTTTATCCAAGAAGATTTGGCTCTCGAAGTTGAGAAAGCGGTGTGAGGATTACAAACAAGCTTTATCTAAGGGGCTCTCGAAGTTAAGAAAGCGGTGCCTCTTCGGTTTTCGAACAAGCAATTCTGTCGGGGATCTGTCTCTCGAGATTCGGAGAACGGTGCCTCTTCGATGTTTGAGAAAGCAATCCTACTAGGAGTCTGGCTCTCGAGATTAGGAGAGTGGTGTCTCGTCGCTTTTTGAGAAAGTGATCATGTTGGGAGTCTGACTCTCGAGATTCGGAGGGCGGTGCCTCTTCAATCTTGAAGCAAGCAATCTTGTTGGGAGTGTTTTCTCGAATGTGAGTAAAGGTTAGGCCTGTTTGCTAGTCTACCTTGCCACGGAGCACAGAGGTTGACACACAGGGACTTTCCAATTATCCAGCAGTGGTCCTGTTCCTTTACCCTTGTGGGTAATAATATGGTAGCTAGATCTTCAAAATTCATGTGTCTAAACTTTGTTAGTGCTGTTTCTTTGCTATTCTTTTACCCTTCTTGGTCATAGCGATGTAATGGGAGCTGCAAGCTTCACGTGTCTAAACTTTGTCAGAGATTTTTGGCAAAGTTATCTGTGGTACCCGTGAGCTGATGTTGCGTGTGGAAAGTGGATGATTGAACAGTAACATTCATGTGCTTTCTACTTCACCAGAAATCTTCGACAAAATGCCCGTAATTTCCGCAAAGTTGAGTGTGCATGTGACAGGTGCTGACAAGGCTGAAAAAGCAGGTGCCTCTTCGATTTCTGAGATCGACCTTCGTGGTCTTTGAGCAGCCCAGCTTTTGAGAAAGCAAGCGCCTCTTCGTTTCCTGAGATCGGCCCTCGTGGTCTCTGAGCAGCCCAGCTTTTGAGAAAGCAAACGCCTTTTCGATTTCTGAGCAGGCGCCTCTTCGATTTCTGAAGCTCCATAGAGTGCAGATTTTTATAGAGGCTGGTATTAAGTTCCAAAGCACACTTGAATCTCCACCAGTAGAAGCTCCCTTCTTGCATTTCTAAGATCTTGATTTATCCGACCTCTTCTCTCTTCAACACCTTTGAAAATGTTTGGCCCCTCCGACCGTCGTTTTGACTTGAACCTTGTTAAAGAGGCAGCCACGCCTTCTCCAGACAACATATGGCGCCCATCCTTCTTATCCCCTACAGGTCCTCTTACCGTTGGGGATTCCGTGATAAAGAATGATATGACCGCTGCGGTGGTGGCCAGGAACCTTCTCACTCCCAAAGATAACAGACTACTTTCCAAACGGTCTGATGAGTTGGCTGTTAAGGATTCTCTGGCTCTCAGTGTTCAGTGTGCAGGTTCTGTGTCTAATATGGCCCAACGCCTATTTGGTCGAACCCGCCAAGTTGAATCATTGGCGGCTGAAGTGATGAGTCTCAAACAGGAGATTAGAGGGCTCAAGCATGAGAATAAACAGCTGCACCGGCTCGCACATGACTATGCTACAAACATGAAAAGGAAGCTTGACCAGATGAAGGAATCTGATGGTCAGATTTTACATGATCATCAGAGGTTTGTGGGTTTGTTCCAAAGGTATTTATTGCCTTCGTCTTCTGGGGCTGTACCGCGTAATGAAGCTCCAAATGATCAACCTTCGATGCCTCCTCCTTCTAAGGTGTTGTCCAGTACTGAGGCTCCGAATGATCCCCCTCCGGTGCCTTTTCTTTCTGGGGCTCTACCGATTGCTGAGGCTTCTCCTAAGCAACCTTTGTGAAGGTTTCCTCTTGTTTGTTTATTTTGACTCATGTATATGTACATATTTGTAACTTATTGGAGATATCAATAAATAAGCTTTGTTTCATTTCAACGTATTGTGTTAAATACACCAAAGCCTTCTTCACTAAGTTCTTTGAATTTTTACATGAAAAGGTAAATGGAGAAAATTCATTTTATGACTACAAATAGTTGCTTTCATATGCAGATGTATGCATGCCAACTGTCCATGGGATGCCAATTCCTAAAGGAAATAGTAGTTCTGATAGATAGCCACCATTGGGCATTTGGATGGAAAACAAATAAAATGCTGAAGCACATCGTTGAAAGGTGAACGTTTCAAACAGTTTATATGTGATTTTTTGGATAGAGAATCAGCAGCAATCTCAAGAACTCATGACTGCTATATGATATGGTTTATATGTTGACCTAAGAACTAGACATTCATAGCTAGTTTGATTACATACATCAAACAACAGTGAAAACGAATAACAATATGATACCTATAATTGAAGTTCTTCACAACAAAGTATAGCTTATTGGCTAAAATAGTCCATCTGCATCCGTGCTCGCATTACGTTCCTAGTAATGAGATGACTGTGTTCCTTAATCATAGAACAATAAACCCCATTGCATATATATTCTGAAGTCAATCATGTTTTCAATAATGATTCTTTTGAGTCGCCATTTAGTTAAATCACACAAATCATTCATATCTGTTTCTAAATGAAGCCTTACGTTCACAACAATTAGGAACATCTGACAACTTATTAGATCAATAGCTCTAACACTAAAGTTGCACTAAAGTTGCAGGGAAGAAAGCTTTCTCCTTTTTTTAATTCGTTTTTATATTTCAAAACGACGACTCTCTTTCTAGATTATGCAAATACTAAAAGCATAAAACATGGCCAGAAGAAGTTGCTGCAGTTCCAACAAGGCAGTATTCAAAGTGTGAAACTGTGTGTGTATGGGAAAGAGGGCGGGTGTTCGTGTTCAAGCTTGAGATAGAGAGACACAGAGCAAAAAAAAAGTCCAAACTTAAGACAACCAATCAAACTTAAAAGAAACCAACTTCTACAAATGAAATATTAATGAATTTCCATGAGTCATGCTTTCAGGGAAAGGGTAAAAACATTAAGTTGTCCAGATGAAAGCTTGATTAGTTAAAGTGACCAGAAATTCATAACTGGTGAGTACCAACAATTAGTGATAATAACATATACACCGTAAACCATTAGAAGAAGATGCACCTCTAACCAAAGGAAGACCAGTCATATGAGAAAACAAAGACCAGGAAGCCGACCAAGAATAACAACAGCCATCGTTTCAGCAGCGACAATAGTAAAAGTATCGTCCATTTTCCCTTTTCGTCTGCAATATGGGATTAACTAATAAAATTTAATTTTTAAAAAACGCTTAAATTACATAGTATTTACTTGCTGGTAAAGTGATGTGAAGTGCTTTGCAAGTCAAACTGCAAATTGCTCCACTGAAAGTGCCTTTACATATACCTGTGTTGCAACTAGGTTAAATCCCAAAGGCGAATAGCAATCAAAATGATGGAAACATAGCAGATTTCTAGTACTGGGAAAGCTAACAAACATTGATGTCTAATTGTCTACATACATTTTTTTCTTTTGTGACAGAAGGACATTGTACTTCGTATCATCGTGTTAACTGGAACTTGAGTCCATAGGCAGTCACGTTAGTTGCTAAGTTCTTTAATCACTCTTGCATTCTTTTCCTTTATGCGTCTTGTATTTTTATCGATTGAACTGAGGAACCAATTTCTTCGCCCGCAGTTTCAATCGATATTTTTGCCATTTGGTGCAAAAATATGAACTTGTAAGTAGTAACATTTCAATAGCTCTAAACTTTTTCAGTACCAAAAATATGAACCTGTAAGAATACGAAATTTGTGAAGAAGCAGAGAAAAAACCAGAAAACTAACACCATAGCAGACCAACCCACCACCCTAAAATTCGATTTAACAATAAAACCCTAACATTCCTAACCCTAAAATTCGATTTAACACAAAAACCCCCAATTTCTAATTTAATTTCCCAAATTGAATCTAATTGCAATACCAAAATCTTCAAATAGCGCGATGCAGGTTTACCTTTTCACCTCGCGCAAAGGGTTTTTGCACGACGACTATGTAGTGGCGTCGCGCAAGGTATTTTAAAAAAAAAAAATTATTATTAAATGTACTGAAAATGTGATTTTACTCCTTTCAAATTCAATTTTTTTTACATAAAACCCACAATAATATATTTTTATAACAATTACAATAAATATAAAGCTACTTAATAAATATACATATTTTTCAATTTCTTAAATGTTATACGTACAAAATAAATAAATTTAAATCTACGTAATATATATACACATACCATTGAAATTGATGGGATACGCATTGTGCAAAAATAGTTTGAATGATCCAACCGTCAAACTTGTTTGTATATACTTCGAGATCGCATACACCAAAAATTGCAAAAAATAAACATTCAAAAATCAAGTAACGAGACAAAACTTTTCGACGGTTATAAACGAAAAATCATGATTTAGCGGTAGTTTTAACTCCGATTTTAATGATTTTTTACAGCTACACTTCTTGATCCTATATGAATACAATGAACTAATTCGATCGTCAATTTAAAAATATTTACACAAGTGGATACCACAAAATCTTTATGTTATACTTAATGAAAGTATAAATAAACTCTAAATTTTAGTGAATCTATTGTTTTGATGGGATACGCATTCTACGAAGCTAATTTTAAGGATCCAACCGTCAAACTTGTTTGCATATGCTTCGAGATCACATACGCCAAAAATCGTGAAAAATAAACATGCAGAGATCAAGATAGGGATAAAACTTTTTGACGATTATAGACGAAAAAGTACGATTTAACGGTAGTTTTAACTCCAATTTTGATATTTTTTTATAGATACACTCCTGGATCCTATATGAATACAATGAACTAATTCGATCGTCAATTTTAAATATTTACACAAGTGGATACCACAAAATCTTATGTTATACTTAATGAAAGTATAAATAAACTCCAAGTGTTAGTTAATCTATTGTTTTGATGGGATACGCATTGTACAAAACTAGTTTCAACGATCTAACCGTCAAACTTGTTTGTATATGTTTGAAGATCGCATAGGCCAAAAAATGCAAAAAACAAACATTCAGAGATTATGTAATGGGACAAACCTTTTCGACGACTATAAACAAAAAATCACAATTTAACGGTTATTTTAACTCTGATTTTGATGATTTTTTTACAGCTACACTCTTTAAATCTATATGAATACAATGAACTAATTCGATCGCCAATTTAAAACTTTTACACAAGTGGATACCACAAAAGAAAAAGGCAATGCAAAAACCCCAAAAGAAAAGCAAAAGGGAAAAAAAAAAAAAAAAACACTTTGCGCGACGTAGGTACAACTGCGTCGCGCAAAGTGTTTTTTTTTTTATTTCCTTCCTTATGAGTAGAAAATAAATAAATTAAATCTACTTAGTAATATATATACCATTGAATGTGATAGGAAACGTATTGTACGAAACTAGTTTCAAAGATCCAACTGTCAAACTTGTTTGTATATGCTTAGAGATTGCATATGCCAAAAACAAACATGCAAAGATCAAGTAACAAGATAAAACTTTTCGACTGATATAAACGAAAAATCACAATTTAACTGTAGTTTTAACTCCGATTTTGATAATTTTTTACAGTTACACTCTTTAAACTTATATGAATACAATTAACTAATTCAATCGTCAATTTAAAATATTTACAGAAGTGGATACCACAAAAGAAAAAGGCAATGCAAGAACCCAAAAGAAAAGCAAAAGGAAAAAAAAAAAAGCTTTGCACGACATAGGTACAACTGCATCGTGCAAAACAGCTTTGCAAGACGTAGTTGCACCTGCGTCGCGCAAAGTTGGAAAAAAGCGGTTAATCTTTCTTGGTTTGGCACCAAAACGTTGCACGACGAAGGCTGACGTCGCGCAAAGCTGTTTTGCGCAACGTAGGTGCACCTACATTGTGCAAAACAACTTTGAGCAACGTCAGCCTTCGTCACGCAAAGTGTCGTCACGCAAAGGCTGTTTGTGCAACGTTTTGTTTTTAGTGTCGCGCAAACAGACTTTGCGTGACGAAATTTGATGCGTTGCGCAAGTTTCCATCGCGCAAACATGTTTTTCTACTAGTGATCTCATATAAGAGTATATCCATGGTTTTATAAGTGTTTTTGGATTTCCCATAACCTCTTGTGAAAAAATCTGCACCGTATAACTGAGACAGACTTTTATATTTTTCTTTATTAATGGTTTATGCTGTCGGTTATGGGCAACAATATAGTTGTTTATTTTATTTATCAAATAGTTAGGTGGTGTCGGTTAGGGCTGACACTAATCTACTCTATTCGACAGTCTTTCTCAGTATTTAATATCACCTCTATCTGACTTGAGTTTCAATGTCACTTTTATCCAACACTACAATCCTTTTTTTATTTTATATAGTTTTCCTTCTTCTTGGCAGATTAAGGGGACTAACCAACATCAAAAGCCTTTTCGTGATGCTAGCATGTTATCGGTTCTTTTATCCAACATTACATGAGTTTATGTCGGATTTTTACCTAATATCCGACAGAAATTAGGTTTTCTTGTCGGTTTTAGGACCGTCAGTTATAGGTAATTTTGTAGTAGTGTCATCATCCCTTTGCTCAGAAGTCACTTCCTTACCTGCACCACTACAATTAGTAGTATCATTATTTTCCCACTCAGCTAGATAATCTCTTGTAACGTTAATAAAACCCTGTTCAGCCTCATTCAGCTGATTATCCACTTCTGACCTATTCATTGCAAAAGCAACCTCATGAAAATAATAAGCATCAAGACTTGAAGATGGCAGTAGGCCTAAAGTAGGGTGGACTATCCCATGATAACCTCATCTAGCTACATTCACCTCCAACAACTGGTAGGTAGCCGCAGCAGCTGGCTGGACCTCTGATAGAGCAACAGTAACATAAGGGTTACTTCCATAGGTTCCAATGGCATTTGCGAATCTCCCTATGAACTGATTATTTTGGTAGCTGTGGGCGTTTTGGTGACCACCCAAGGCCTGACCGGAGGAGAAACCTTTCTCACAATGGGTGCACTTGAAGAGATATTTTTTTCCAGAGTTGGCCGTGTTGTCTTCAGAGTTGGTGGCACTGTTTAACATGGTGATTGGTTTGGACGATGAAAACAAGGTAAATTGAGAGTGAGAGAGTGCTGGTTTGGAGGAAGTAGTGCAAATGAGTGGTTTATAAAAGAGTGAAAACCGGACTTGAAGTTGGATTCAATTAAAGTTTCATGTATGAACTTAAATGTAGTGAGATTTTGTGAATCAGGGACAAATTTGGTCTTGTGAGAGCTTTATATATGTGTTGATTTAGGGCTTGTCACTACTAAATTAAACAGCTTGCGCAATAAGGGACATTTTGTCGCGCAAATAATTGTTTGGTTGCACATAAACTATGGCGACAAGAAAATCATCGCGCATATTTTGTGGCGTAAAGCTTGTGAAAAAAGACATTGCGCGATGAACATCTTCAAATTTGTTGCGCGTCATAACAATTACGCGACGCTTTACTAGTCGTCGTGTGAAAGTTATACGGACAAAGGTTTTCGTCGTACGATATAAACGAGTACAAGTGCGTTTGTGGGTAATTTGTCTTAAAACTTTTTCGTAACGAAATCTATAGTAGGTGCGTGGTAATGCGCGACGAAGAGTAAGACGCGCTTAATTTTACGCAACGACATTTCGTTGTCGCGCACGTGTAATTTTTAATAAAAAAATAGAATAAAAGGAAAAAAAGAACAGATTTCATACGAATGAGAAAGAAAAAAAAAAGCAAATTAATGAATAAGTTTGTTATTTATGATATAAATAAAAATGTACGTACAAATATAAAGTTAAAAAAAAAGGGAACAAAACTACGAAAATAAAGAGGCAAAATCTATAGGCATGTCATTCAAAGGTGCTTGGTAATCTTGCTACTGGTTGGGGAAGGGTTGGAGGTCGACGGGCTTGATTGCTGTGCTTGCTCGGTGTGGAAGGGCTGTGAGGGCGATGGTGTCGAAAAACTGGGGAGATGTATTCCAGAGGAACTGAGGGCTTGTACAAGCATTGACATTTGAGACTTGTACGATGCCAGCTTACTCCTCAACCTAGCGACTTCCTGCGTCAAAGCCGTAACCTTGGTCTTTGACTGCGAGGATGACGAGGCTGTAGTCTCTCGACGCCTGGCATTTCCCATCCCCCGACAATATGTCCCTGGCCTCCTACTGAAAGTCTGGTCCAACGTCTCTGTGACGATGTGAAACCCTGCATTGTCAAGGGGATCCACAGACTCGATCGGCGTGTTCGAGGGAAGGTGGGAGGCGAACTCCTGAAGCACCACCTGTCGCTTCTCCACCATAGTTGCTTGTGAAAAAAAACATGGATTATTAATAGAAAACAATTTGAAAGAATTAGTATAAATGTTTAATGCATAAGAAATTACTTACATGAAGGGACTGGGTCAACTCATTCCCAGGCCGAACATAAACGTCAGCAAAGACGTCGATCTCCAGAAAATTTGAACCCTTCTAAAATCTAAAAAGATAAGGAAAATGTTAGTATGAAAAAAAAATTATTAGCGAAATTTTAAAATTGGAAATAAAAGTTGTAATATATACCTTCCGTCGCGCCTCCATCCTATAGGAGAAAGGCCTCGAACCCGAATGGTGGAGAAGAGTCTTCTTATCTCGATTGATTTTGTTCGCCTTCGCCTTCTTCTGTTATACAAAAAATAAACGTGTTAGTTGTAATAGTTAAAGAAAATTAAAAAAATTAATAATAAACATTATTAAAAAATAAAAAAATAAAAATGAAAGAAGTCATCATTAAAAACGCACCACATATGTCGGGTCCTTAAAATGACCGCAAAGCCAAACCCAACTATCTTGTCGGTCCTCCAACTCCTTCGGACATCCCTTCTCAAAAGCGACCTGCGGATCATCAAACTCCTGGAACCATTGGTGCAGGTCACTCTTCCACTACTTGTAGCGTTCAAAGAAGAGCCGATTGACATACACGAACTTGTCTTCGTCCATGTGCTCCAAATTGCAGTTTGTCTGCAATATAACAAATATTTTGAAAGCATTAGTAATAAAAGACAGTAATACATATAAATATATAAAATTTACATGAAAAGCATTAAAAAGGCGATGCTACTTATGGACAATTGATTGCGCACCATAATCTTCGTCTCCTTCAGCATCGCCTTCCAAGACTTCCACAACATAGGGCAAAAGGTCCGCACAACATGCCCAATGTCGTGGGCCAATGCACCATGCTGCTCAGCCGTTGGTGCTGCCCGATGTCGCTCATTGTATCCGATTGGGATACGACCGTTGGTCACCCGGGTGACCTTCCCCGTCTTCAATTGCCAACAAATTCGCTGGGTGTTTTTCTTCGCTGCAAAGAGATGAAAAAAAATCATTAACCCATAACTAATAACAAATCCTACTAAAATTTCGGCATTACCTCTCCTATAATTAAAGCATTTCCCAAAACCCTGAAAATAACATAAACAATATACATATCCAACACAATGATCACAACAGTTTAATAAAAGGTTCGGAACGATGAAAACTTTTTAATCCTTACATGACATAACAAATTGAACCTAAAATAAAAAAACTTAGTAAACAAGGGAATGAAGGAGTGAATTGGGATTGTATACGTGTACCGGAGGCATCGGTTGTGGATCCCGATGGCGACATCTGGTCCATAGTGCGGGGGTGTCGATGAGTTCGTTTGGCGCTAATAGGTAACGCCACCGAAAAAGTCGACGATGCCTGCGCCTGTGGGACTGGAGGACCATCTGAGTGAACCGGATTGATCGGCCTATGGTCCATCTCTGTCGGAGCAATGGCGGCAGTAGTAGGTATAGTCGTCGAACTAGGTGTAGCCGTCGGACTAAGTGTAGAAGTCATCGGCCTCCGGGTTCTAATGAGGTGAGACATCTACAAAATTGGCAATCAATTTGTTTAGTACACAAAGATTTTGATTCTGTTTTCACATGCTTACAACTTCAATGGCTACAAAAGGATTGCTAATTGTTGATTTGATTTCAAATTAACTTGTTAACTGAAATAAACATATGGGAATTCCAGTCCATTGGCTGGTTAAAATCATTTTCTGAATGCATATGGGCAGATTCAATGATTTTGGAGATGTAGAAATATGAAAATAATTGAAACATTCCCATCATAACAAAGTTCATGTGCTCTTCGATTTGCAGCAAGAGAAGCTTGCTAATACCTCTCATGAAAATCATATATATATATATATATATATATATATATATATATATATATATATATATATATATATATATATATATAATCTAAACTATAATGGAGGAATTCAAATTATTGTGCAAAAAAAAAAATATTAATATCAAAACGTAAATGTAACTTCAAAATTGGAAGGCCGAATTCAACAAGCAACACAATCGAGTCTATCTTATTAATAAGGCAACAACAAAGGGTAATACCCCATTATATATCAACAAATCGTGGTAGTCAACAATGCAAATCCTTAATTTAAGAACCCTGTACTTAAATTAGAAAACCCCTAATTCGAACCCTGTACTTGAAATTAAAAAACCCCTAATTTAAGAACCCTAATCTAACCCCCAGTGAAGCACCCTAAATCTAACCCCCAATTTAAGAAAACCTAATCTAACCTCACTGCCCAAAATCGTTCTCCTACATTAAGACCTAAATCTAACCCTAATTAAGAACCCTAAAAACTCTAATTTAAGAACCTAAATGTAACCTCCAATTTATGAACCCTAAATCTAACCCCACTGCCCCTAATTTGAAAAAATAAAAACCCTAATTCTAACCCCCAGTCAATAAACAAATTTGAAACTAAAAACTGAAAAGGAAATTACCTGTTGGAGAAAAAGAGGCGATGGACTGAGAGAGGGATGGAGAGACGAGGTAAGTGAAGGAGAGACGGATGAAGATAGAGAGGAAGGAAAGAGAGGGTATCGCGCGGGGAAAAAAGGAAGAAGAGGGAAGTAAAGGAGGAACGAGACGCACGAGGGTTAATAATATAGAATATTACGCAACGGAGTGTTCGTCTCGCAAGGCTAAACAATCGTCGCGCAAGTTTTTTAAAATTTCTGCCAAAAAAATTGCTTTATTTAAATTTTCAGACAGTTGCGCGACAAAATATATTGATTTGTCACGCAAGTTTTTAAAAATTTCCGTGAAAAAATGCGCTTTAATTGAATTTTCAAACATGTTGGCAACGAATACATATATTTCGTCGCGCAAAGTATATTTGCGCGACCAAAAAAATTTTATGCGTTGCGCAATTGTGTTTTAAATTGGTTATTTTTTATTTTGTTTACAATTTATTATAAAATACAAACAAAACAACTTTATTTACAAAATAATTCACATATAAAATGGGAATCATTCATACCATTTTTTCCATCACTCTATATAATGCATTAAACATTTCATGTGTTTTACAAAAAAATTACAAAAAAATTGCCTTAATCTTAATCCGAACTATAATAACTTTCACTTTCGTCACTATCATCATTTTCAGTGTCCCATTCCTTATCATCGATAGGTACGTCACCATCGTCGTTCATGCGCACTGGACTATCGTATCGTGGAATATTACCAAGGTCAATCGTGATGGACTGAATCGATATTTCGATTGAAGATACTCTATCTATCTGAAATGGTTCTTGGATAAGATTAGTATCTTGGAGTGTTTCCGCACCACTTTCCATGAAAGATTCAAGACGTTGGTCAGCAACATTGTTGATGTCGTCGTTAGTACGGTCTTGTTCTGGTATAGCATACATGTTCCTATGATCCATCTTCTAAACAACTTTCCAACCCCTCCCGGATTTAGGGTCAACTAGATACACAATTTGTTTTTCCATGGCTGCTAATATGTAAGGGTCGTCATCGTACCAAGTTTTGGTAGTGTTCACTGATAGTAATCCATGATCTATTTTCACACTTCCATGCCTATTTGGGTGTGTATCAAACCATTGACACTTATAAAGGATCACTTGGCACCCGTCTTTATAAAGCAATTGCACGACACTTGTTAGTTTGTCATAGAATTCAATGTCTGTACTTTCGCCTCCTCCGAGGACATGAACACCGTTGTTTTGTGTACACAACTTGTCATCCCGTGCACCCACTAAGAACTTGACGTCGTTGACATGGCAGCCCGAGTACAATTCAACGCGAATTGGTCCAAATGCTAAGTTATATAACTCTTCACTGCACGCAGGGGAATTACATGCTTTCAGTTGATTCACCTAATATTAGACAAACATTTAAATTTGTTAGTTCGAGCAACTTAATTGGTACAATATATATGTCTAATACAAAACACTTCAAACTTACATATTCGAGAAACCACTGCGAAAACAATTCACGATGTTTCTTGGCATACAAATGTGAAGAATATGCTTGCTTCATCATATTTTCATGCTCGTCTAGGTGTGACAGTGTCTCATCACAATTGTTGAGTACAAACCAATGTGCTACATCCATGTCCTTCTTGGAAAACGACTCGCCACAAATCGGATCTCCGAATGGTCGAGCGACCTGGGCAAAAACTGAAAGTTTCTCCTTTGGAACACCCCCATCATTATTGCGAGGAGGACGATTGAAAGTTGTCTCAACATCTTTTAAATACATTCCACAAAATGTAAGTGCCTCATATGACACCCAAGCTTGTATTATGGATCTTTCAGGCTTCGCTTTGTTTCGTACACTTTTCTTCAAGTCTCCGAAAAGCCTGCCAAAAGAAAATGATACGATACACATATTACTAATCGTAATATATTTAATATCGATTAATAAAAAAGACGAGGAATATATACCTTTCTATTGGATACATCCATCGAAAGTTGACTAGTCCAGCAAGCAATGCCTCATCTGGTAAGTGAACCATCACGTGTATCATACTTGTGAAGAAGGCTGGAGGAAATATCATCTCAAACTTCCATAGAACTTGCACAATGTCATGGCGCAACTGATTAACGTTCGTTCTTCGTAACGTTCTTGACGTCAATTGCGAAAAAAAACTGGACAACAACATGATTGGTTTCACTACATCGGGTGGCAAGAGATGACGAATACCCATAGGAAGTAGGCGGTGCAGAACCACATGGCAGTCATGACTCTTTAAGCCAGCTAATTTACCCCCGTCAACTTTCACGCAACGCGCGATATTTGAAGCATACCCATCGGGAAACTTTACAGACAATAAAAACTTTAAAATTTCTTTCTTGTCATTCGGTTTCATTGAAAAAAATGCAAGATCCCTTATGGCTTTATCATTGTCCCTATTCATCCATAAACCCCGTCGTATTCCCATTCGTTCCAAATCAAGATGAGCTTTAATCGTGTCATCTGTCTTGCCTTCAATATCTAGAATTGTGCCGACCAATGTGTCAAATACATTTTTCTTAACATGCATAACATCGAGGTTGTGTCTTAATTTTAGTTTAGACCAATACGGGAGCTCAAAAACATAGACTTGTGTGTCCAGTTCATATGTGTAGCAGGTCTTGTCCTAGTGACATTGGTCCCGAAAAGAGCAAAATCCAAATGGTTAAGCTGTTCCAAAATCTGAGCACCGGACCATTCTCTGGGTCTGAGGCAATGCTCTTTCTCCCGGTCAAACTCTTTATCCTTCTCTCGCCACTCGTGGTCCCAAGGCAACCATCTTTGATGACCATGGTAACAATCTTTTCCAGCATGCCAACTAGATGTTACGTCTTCCTTGCATACAGGGCATGCCATATAACCCCTAGTGCTCCACTTGGAAACCATTGCATATGCGGGGAAATCGTTCACAATCCACATCATTGCAGCCCGCAAAGTAAACATCTTGCCAGTACATTTATCATATGTGCGCACACCGTGTGTCCATAAATCTTTTAGCTCATCCACCAATGGCCGTAAGTATACATCGATTGACCTACCAGGATCCTCAGTTATCAATAGAGTCATCATCATGTATTCTTTTTTTATACATTTCCATGGTGGAAAATTATACGGAAATACAAAAATCGGCCAAGTACTGTGGTGTTGGTTTAAAACCCTAAACGGATTAAATCCGTCAGTGGCAAGTCCTAATCTAATGTTACGAGAATCAGCAGCAAACTCGGGGAACGTTCGATCGAACTCTTTCCATGCCTCCCTATCTGCAGAATGTTGCATCATATCATCGTCTACCCGTTTTTCCTTATGTCATCTCATGTCTGTGGCAGTATGCGACGACATATAGAATCGCTGCACCCTAGGTTTCAGGGGTAGATAACGCATGACTTTTTGTGGGATCTTAGTGGTTCTATTATGAGATGTCATTTTGAACCTCGACTCATTGCATACAGGGCATTTATCCAATGTTTTATACTCATCATAGAATAAAATACTTTTGTTTTTGCAAGCATGAATTTTTTCATAACCCAATCCAAGACCTTTCATCACCTTTTGCGCGTCTCTATGGTCTTTCTGCAAACAATTGTCATTCGGAAGCATTCTCTTGAAAACCCCCAAAAAGTAATCGAAACACTGGTTCGACATACGATGCTTTATTTTTCCATGCATTAGTTCCACAATGGCCATGAGAACGGAAAAGCTTTCGCACCTAGAGTATAACTCTTGGTTGGCATTTTTTAATAGTTTTTCATATTGTTCGAACTCTGCACTGTCCATTGGTGTAAGCACGTCATCTTCCCCTTCATGATTGGTGTTTGTCGATGCAAATGGAAAAGCATCATTTATAATATCCATGACTTGTTCATTAGGATCGACAATAGGTTCAACATTATCCATTCTTGTAGCATTTGAAGACAAAGTATTGTCTAATTGTTCCCCATGATGGTTCGAAGTATTATATGTCTCAATCATTCCATTCCTTACTAAAAGAAATTGAACATTTTCTATTGTCTCCCTTAACGTGTTGTTACACCTCCTACAAGGACACCGGATTCTAGTTGCACTCGGGTTGTGTGTACTTGCAAAGTCAATCAAATCCTCGATTCCATCCAAAATATTCGTCCGCACATCTATTCAGGTTCTGTATCCACGTCCTGTCCATAATTCATGGAACCACAATAACAATACAACAATCACAATACAACAATCACAACAACTTCATACAAACTGATAATGTTACCTTATGCCTCAGGTAAGGGCCCTATCCCATTCGGGAATGCATAGTTATGTCACGTAAATTTACGGCTATATCAGATTAGATTTCGACGTGGATGAATTTCGGTAGCATCTCGATACAGTTCTTCAGGTGTATGACCCGAAGAAGGTACAGAGATGATACCGAAATCTCCACAACCGAAACCTAATCCTTCAACCATAAACTACGTGTCATAACTGTGCATTCCTAAATTGTCCAAATAATGGGACAATTCAAGAATTAATTGGACCGCAGTCATGCTTTCGCATTCATGCACGAAATCCAACTAATCCTTAAACGGGAAACTAAGTTTTACTAAAAATAAAAAAACAAGTACGAAGTTAATTTCAATTAACTTTGTACATCACAACACATATTTGTACGTCAAGTACAAATTTAACAACATAATATAAATATAATTTCATAGCACAATATAAACATAACAAACTAAGTTCAACATAATTTAATTAATGATTAAAAAATAAAACGAAGAAATTACCTTCTCAATCGTTATCCACCAATCGCTAATCACACACAATATCCTTATAGAGAACGAAATTAATGGTGTTAGTATGAATTTACATTAATACTTTTACCATAACGATAAAAAACGCTTACAAGACACACCGAGATAGCTCGATCAACCTAGAGAAGATGAAGGGAGTAGTTTACATGATGAAATTGAGAGAAAATGAAAATAATGGATACCAGATTCAGCAAAATCGCAGGGATGAGTGCAGAGGCACAATCTGCAAATTTTTCCCAGAACCTTCCCCAGAATCGGCCATTCTTTTTTAAACAAATTTTTTTTGAAAACTTCGACTCTGAAACTGTGTTTATATAGCACTAGGATAGCTTTGCGCGACGAAATAGTTGTCGCGCAAAACTATAAGCCGTTGCGCAAAATGCATCATTAATGAGCAATAAATTGGAAGGTTTGAACGCATTCAGACATCACACTGCGCGACAAACACATGTATTCATCGCGCAAGGTGTATTTGCGCGACGAATTATCGTCGTGCATATATTGAGCGACGAATAGAATAAAATAATTGTAATTACAAAGTTTATGTAAACATAGATATCTATGATATCTATGTTTATGTAAACTTTGTAATTACAAACAAATATTCACAAACGATTTAATACCTTAAATATTTATTCTTAAATTAATTAATACTTTAAATATTTATTCTATAAATAATTAATACCTAATATATTATTCTAAAAATAGTTAATACCTTAAATATTTATTCTACAAATAATTTATGTCTTCATCCATACAATTATTTTCAACATAAGTACGATATTCATTAAAGATTAAAAACACATATAAACCATGGCCAGGGTGCTTACATTAGGTCTAAAAAAAAACCGAACAAGAATTCAAACCTAATTAAGTCCAAATACATAAATTAGAAAAAAAAAAACCTTTAATTTAAAATTGTCGTACAAAACGTAAACTTTAAACTACTATTTGGATGATCCTGCTCCATTCCGCAAGACTTCATAACGCCACATATTGTAACCTTCCTCCAACCCATCCTCCAGCAACTTCATCAATTGTTCTTTTGGTTCATCATCAAAAACATACTTACGCTGTTACACATATATACATATAATTAATTCTAACATATAACTAAAAATTTCGCAAACTAAATTATTGATCCATCAACAATATTCTTACTAATAGTTCATCCATCACAAGCTTTTTCACATTTCCCGGCACATCTTTCCAAGAACGCCACTCAGCAGTGGGGCAATTATTCCTCATAGCTGCAGCAATTGCACGAGCAAACGCAAAATGTTCTCTCATATCATGCGCGTCGGCCTTGCGCACACTCTCATTATTGTTTTTATCCGCCATCTCAGCACAAACAGAATTGTGAAGAAAAGGACAGTAGAAGCACCTATTTATAGCATCTTTGCGTGACGAAGTCTTTGTCGCGTAAACATCTGCATTAAATAGCCTCAAATTTACCTGATTCAGATGTATTGGAAGGTGAAAAGTTGGTGGAACTTGCGCGACGAATATTTGTCGCGCAAAAGTAACATTTCGTCGCGGAAGTTTTTCCCGCCAAATTAAATTACCCGCGTTTTCTTGCTGACTTTAAGTGACGACAAAAAATATTCATCGCGCAAGAATACTTAGCGCAATGAAATTTTCGTCGCGCAAGTTTTATTTATTTATTTTCTCTATTTTTTCTATTTTGCGCGACGAAGTTTTTTTTTATCACGCAAGTGCGTCTTGTGTGTTGAATTTTTGTTCGTCGCGCAACCTATTTTTTTTACTAGTGTGTGGAACTTGGATTGCAAGAAAAAGAATTGAGCCAACTAGACAAGCACACAGTTTTAGTTGGGAGACTTTGGATGCGGTCCTTAGCTATGAATTTTCTTTGATTGAAACCTTGTTGGTTTTTAATTTATGATTGAGGTCCCTAAAATTAATATGATAATTTATTTCTATGTACGTTACTATGTTTTTTAAATTAAAAATTAGAAATTTTAGTTGTTTATATAAATGATATTTTAAATAAAAAACCATAATTTGTGGGATTAAAAATATTAAAATATAAATATACTATAGTGTGTGTGTGTGTATATAAACATGGGTACATTCATCAAAATTAACCAAAAAAATTATTGTATCAAAACATGGGTACATTCTTCAAAATCACAAAAAAAAAAAAAAAAAAAAGATATTAGGCTTAATAACATTAGTAAATTTCTTCGATTAAACTTGACATGGATACATTTTAAAATCAAAGAAAAAAGAATGTACCCATATAAGTTTAAAAATTGATTAGAAAAAAATTGAATAGATTTTATATAAAAGAAAATGGTACATTTTACATATAACAAATCGGTATATTTAAGAATGAGTATATTTTAAGATTAAAAAGTTTTGCATGAATAGGTACATATAATTAGCATGGGTACATTTAGCAAAATAAAAAGTACAAATAAAAAAACATATATGGGTACAAATACAAATAAACTTTAAAAAATATGGGCACAAAAAGAAATTAATATATGGGTACAAATTAAAACTAAAAAGAAAATTAGTACAAATTAAAAAAGAATTACATTTAAAAACTAAAACTAAAATTTATGATAAAAAATTTAGTCATAAATATAAATATACTAATTGTAACATTTTTAACATTAAATGAATATATTTAGAAATAAAAAAATATTTTATTATTGAAATAATTAATGATGTTATTAATATCCAAGGAGCTTGATAAAAAATTGAAAAGGAATAAGATTTTAATCAATGATGTAGCAAAAGAAATGATGAGAACCTAATTTCTCCATTTTCGTTCCTTGTTTTCATACAGTTTTGATTTTTCTGTTTACCACTTGGAAAAGTGTCCCTTGATGTATATAGATTGTGTCCAATTGTGAACCCTGTTGAACCTCAACTTTCTTAAAACCCACATAGGTTAAGTAATGAACCGTATATAAGTTAGAAGACAAATAAACACATACATGTCTGTACTTTCCTTAACTGGTAGTATTTGGTATGAAAATGTATATTCACTCGTAAAACATCTGGCGCAACTGTAATTATGTCTGTACTTCAGACATGTGCTTGCTAGATTGAAATATAGTGAGATTTAATTTGACTTAATATGCCCTGGTAGATAGCTAGGGCCCCGGTTTAATGAAAAGAGAATTTCAGACTTGATTACAATTTTGGAGCAATAATTATGTTGTCAATTGTGCCTTTATGTTTGACACTCATATATTGTATACAAAAAGTTTAGATAATCAACTATTTTGTCAGCGCGATGCTGCATTTCATTTGATACATATG